GGGGGGCAGGGGGGTCACCTGATTTCGGAAGTAAATCAATAGATAAATTGGCCGCCAAAGTTTTGATGACTTCCATAGTCTGAGAGACCATTGTGAAATTTACATTTTTTTGTGCTTTTAATCAACGTTTTTCAATAAAATCCGGGACAGAAATGTGTTTTTTAAAAGACATAAAAGGTGTTGGGCCAAAAAAACAAAAATTTGAAAAAATTTCCAAACGGAAGGAAAAATGCTGTTTTCTTCGATTTCATTATTTTCATGAGCGCCTGATTTCACCCCAATGCCTCACAAATCATGACTGTTTTCATTGGCCTAAGGTAGTTGACAGGATTGGGGTAGTTGACACTTGGCTAGGGTGGATATTGTTATGATCTGCATTATTGTCGTTGTTTTCGTTGATGTTGATGTGGGTGTTTGGCGGGTGCTCTGGTGTAATTTGCTCCTTCCTCCCTATTAATTATCTATCACCCTTATCTTTCCTACTTCATTTTTATGTTTATTAGTCTCTTGTAACACCTCTAATCTAATCTTCGGCACTTATATGACCTAGATATTAATTGTGTTGCAAGCACCATGAAACTTTTACTGAAACATTGTTGTCGTTGTTGTTGTGGTTGTTGCTGTAGGTGTAGCCATTGGTTCTGTTGTTGTTGAAGAATCAACCACTGCTGCCACTGCTCATGTCGTTCCTGTTGGGTGATGTGTTGGTTGCTGTCATGGGTACCATTGACAGGTTCTGTTTCTCTCCTTTCTCTCTGATATTTCAGTGGGTGGTTGGAGGGCGCCACTGGTAGGCCCTACTTCTTCACTGTCCCTCTGTTGTTTCTGTACGTCTGTCTTACCTTTTCCCAGCACTAAATGGCCATTATTGTGTCAATGTGCTTCTCTTTACACAAACAAACAATCTGATATTACAGTCTATCTTGCTTTCCCCTACAGGAAATGGCTGTTGTCTTGTTGATGTATAATAAATCCATTGACTCACAAATTTGCTCTTGTCGTTGGGTTGGTTATTATTATTTTTTCAATTAGATGGTGGTGGTACTGGTCCTGTTCTTTGTGCTAATACTAATAGTGATAGTGATGGTGCTGCTACCGTTTTTCATGTTATTAAATCGTTAAT